CGCTGGAGCCAAGTGTTAACATGTCTTGGTTCAAGAAATGGAAAGTCACCCATAAAGATGGCAGAGCCAGTGGAACCATGCTGCTTGATGCTCTGGATTGCATCCTGCCACCAACTTGTCCTACTGACAAACCTTTGCATCTGCCCCTCTAGGATGTCTACAAAATTGGTAGTATTAGTACTGTGCCTGTGGGCCGAGTGGAGACTGGTGTTTTCAAACCCGGCATGGTGTCACCTTTGCTCCAGGCAATGTTACAACTGGAGTAAGGTTTGTTGAAATGCACTATGAAGCTTTGAGTGAAGCTCTTTCTGGGGAAAATGTGGGCTTCAATGTCAAGAATGTGTCTGTCAAAGATGTTCGTTGTGGCAATGTGGCTAGTGACAGCAAAAATGACCCACCCATGGAGGCAGTTGACTTCACTGCCCAGGTTATTATCCTGAACCATCCAGGCCAAATCAGTGCTGGATATGCACCTGTGTTTGATTGTCACACAGCTCACAGTGCCTGCAAATTTGCAGAGCTGAAGGAGAAAATTGATCGTCGTTCAGGGAAAAAGCAGGAAGATGGCCCCAAGTTTTTGAAATCTGGTGATGCTGCCATCATTGACATGGTTCCTGGCAAGCCCATGTGTGTTGAGAGCTTCTCTGACTACCCTTCTCTGGGCCATTTTGCTGTTTGTGACATGAGACAGACAGTTGCTGTGAATGTCATCAAAGCAGTGGACAAGAAGGCAGCTGGAGCTGACAAGGTCACCAAGTCTGCTCAGAAAGCTCAGAAAATCATCCCCAATATCTGCCACCCCAGTCTTAATCAGTGTTGGAAGAATAGTCTCAGAACTGTTTGTCTCAAATGGCCATTTAAGTGTAATAGTAAAAGACTGGTTAATGACTACAATGCATTGTAAAACCTTCAGAAAAAAGGAGATTGTTTTGTGGACCTTGTTTTTTTTTGGTATGACAGGTTTTAAATTATTAATTTTTAAAATCACTACTTTTTAATGCTAGCAAATTGACTAAAAATCTGTCACAGAATTTTGAGACCCATTAAAACAAAGCTTAATGAGAAAAAAAAGACATATTGTAATTAAGATGGCAAAATGTAAAGGGAAAGAGACAATTTTGAAGGCAGCAAGAGTAAAAAGCTAGATACATTCAAAGGAAACCCCATAAGGTTATCAGCTAATTTATCAGCAGCAACTACAGGCCAGAGGGAGTGGCAGGGCATCGTTAAAGTGCTGAAAAAAGAAACCTACAACCTAGAATAATTTACCCAGCAAGGTTATCATTCAGAATTAAAAGAGAGATAAAGAGCTTCCTGGACAAGCAAAAACTGAAAGATTTCATCACCATTAAACCAGTTTCACAAAAAGGTTAAAGGGCTATCTTTAAGCAAAAGAGAAAAGGCCATAACTATAAATAAGAAATGTGAGAAAGGAAAAAATCTCACAGGTACAGCCAAATATTTAATAAGTACAGCAAATCAGACATTTAAAAAGCTACTACAAAGTTCAAAAGACAAAAGTACCAAACTCAACTTAAATGACAATAAGTAGTTAGGAGATACACAACACAAAAAGGTCTAAAA